ATGATAAACTTTGTCAGATAATAAAGGTATTTAAACAACTAAAATATAGTGAATAGAAATATAGAAATATGATTGCGGGTACAAAAAGTGTAAGTGGACAAAATTAAGCCTGTAATATATAAAATATATAATAAATAATAAAATAAAAATAATTTTTGAAACAATTAGATGTTTTACAATACTAAAATAATTTCATGAAAAATAAAAGTAAATTTGATTAAAGGTTTTTTTTTTTTTTTTAATGTTGGATTAAAAAAATTGTTTATATAATTGAAAGGTAAGAATAAGAATAATTATTCAAGATTTTATACAAAATTTATAATATAATTGAAGGTTATTAATGATTGGATAAATTTTAAGTAGTGTAAAATTGAACAAAAATTGTCTCTTTTGACGAAAAGTTACAGTTGTGGTGTGTGACTAGATTATATCCCTTTGGTAACATCGGTGTTTCTATGACTCTGAAACTGGGAATATGTGAAATGATCTTTTCGTTTGTCCTCAATGCTGGTATGTAGAGAATGATTTCTCTTTCGCGTTAAAAAGTCTATATAAGACTTAACCAAATTGTTTTATATTTTTTCATCGCAGTAAGGACAGTAGAAGTTCGTTTTATGTATAAAAGAAACATTCGCGCTTTTAAATCCTTTTATATATATATATAGATGGCGCGTTATTGCTTTGTGTTAATTTATGCTTAACTGGCCTTGTCTTTATAGTTTGCTGAAGAGCATTGCTCGAAGCAAATATTTGAATGTAATTCTACTGTCTTATAAGCTTATGTCCATAGTTTAATTGAAAACCATTTCTAAGATTCCATCCTTCAGTGTAGCATATAAAAGCAGAATGATCCAATACAGTATTAAAGCTCTGAGAAGCGGTCTGGTGGATTAAATTGGCGAAACCGCTGGGAAGGTTCACCTCTGATGAGCCAAGCCCTCCCAATATATTTTTTCATCGCAGTAAGGACAGTAGAAGTTCGTTTTATGTATAAAAGAAACATTCGCGCTTTTAAATCCTTTTATTTATATATATAGATGGCGCGTTATTGCTTTGTGCAAATTGTTTTAATTGGTGTTATCAATTAACATGTAAAATGTTTAATGTATGTTGTGTTGTGATATCTCGTTGGTGAGATTTGTGAGATGCTCGAGGAAATCTAAATGAGTAGTGTGACACATGTGTTCAAAATGGCGTCATGAAGCTAGCGGTCAAGAAGATCTGCCTTGAGGGGGAAGAGAGGGCATGTCCAAAGATATTCTCAAAAGATAGTAGTGACCAGGGGAGTGACGTCATAAAGGGCGTCCACTTCCTTTTTTTCACGGAAATTCTATTTTTGGGGTGGTCACACGTGCAGGGTGTTTATTTTCTGTCTTACTTGAAACTGATTTTCTCTCTCTTCTTTTGTTGAAGTTTGGCAATTTTCTTGCCTATTTGAAAATATAGTTTTCTCGATGTTCGTAAGTGTTGTGTCTCGAAATCAGTTTAGACTTAGTAAAATTGTTATACGATGATTTCAGGCTAGAAGTGAGTGAAAGATATGACTTTCGACGTGGACACGCTTTGAGGTGAGAAGTGTCACAGGCGTGAAGGGCGTCTTTGGCCTGAAAAGTCAGAAAAGTTTTGTTGTGTTGCTTTGTGACACTTGTGAAGTGAATTGAATGGAAAGGTGTCACGTGAAATCATAGTTTGGTACAAATCTAACTGTTTCACCAGGAATAACAAATTTAATAAAGTCATGGGTGGTTGTTGTATGAAACACATCGAGAGAATATTTGACTGTTAGTTGATGTGGTACGCTTAATGTGAAATTATTTTATTGTGGCGATGTGATATAGAGCTAAGTGGAGCTCGAAATTGGATTTGTGTGTTAAGTCGCGCACTAAAAATTGTTGCCAATTGGAGAAAGTGACGTGTGAGGGTGTTGTAAGGTTTGTTGAGAGAGATGTATGGTTGATTAATTATGCATGTACAAGGAAAGGTAAGGGAGTGTATTTATCCTCGAATATTAACGATTGTAATCGTTTTGGAAGGCTGTGATTAATTTATATTTAAAATTTGAATATACCTTTTAAATTGTTGATTATGATAATTAAAATGATTCTTATAAAAGGGCAATGTCGTGAGAGTTACACACAATTTGAATTGGACGCTTACTTAAAATGGTGAACATTACCAAATTTTAAGAATTGATAAAGATATTGGTCTTTTGGTATAAAGATAACTAATAAGTAAAACAAAAATAAGTTGAGAATTATGATGAATAAGAGATTTTTTTAAAAATATAAAAATAACGATTTTTTTTTTTAAGTTGTAGATTTGGATAATGCCGTTATAGAGAGAGGTAAATTTAAGAAAGACATATAAGATTAGTAAATAGATAAAAATGCGTGATCAGCGACTTTTTTTTAGTAAAATTGAGAGTAATAACTTGAAATTTATAATCTGAATAAAAATTAAAGTAAATTTGATAAGTTGAGTGTGAAAGTTTTAAAAATTGAATAAAAAATGATATAAAAAAGGTAAAAATTGAATTTAAAATGCGCAAAGTCAAAATATAAATACAAAATTAATGGTGAATCAAGTTGTGAACTTGAGGATAAAGTTAAGGTAGGTTTTTTAAAAAAACTTACAATTTGGATGAAAGTTCAGTCAGGAGACTTGGTCTTTGGTGGTCGTCCTGCTGATGTGGAAGTCGCTCCATGTAAAGCTTGTAGAAGCTTGTAACTTCTGGAAAGTTGTTTGTCGCTTGTTGCCTTGAGCATTGTCTCGACGATGTCAGGTCGAAGGTGGAGAACTTGTCACAGGGTTTGGGTACATCGCTGCTCGGTTTCCATGACTTGCGGTAATTTCGGGGCTGTCGTTGGCGCGGTCAGCTTGCTTCCGGCGTTGGCGATCGGTTAGCGGGTATGCGGAAGTCCGTTGGGGCGGCGTTTCTTCCGTAAATATCGTCTCTTGTTGGGGGGAGAGATTGCTTGGTTGTTTCGCTGGACTGGCGGGTTTGTTCCTCCATCTTTGCTCTTTCTCGCTTCCTATCTGAACAGTCTTCTTCCCTTTTTCGTTGTGTCATTCTTCGTTTTGGTTATCCTGTCGACTCATGTAATGAGATGAGAATTCCAGTAGCTTTTGTAGAGATCCTGTCGACTAATGTAATATTAGATGTCCTGTCGACTCACTGTAATGATTTGTTGAGTTTGATGTCGACTACTGAAATAATAGTTGAAGTCCTGGTAGCTCTTGTTGTACTGTGTTGACCGAGAGGAACAGTCAGGATGTAGAGTTTTTCAGTACCTCTCTGCACCTTGGAAGACCTTTAAAAGTTCTCACAAAATACAGGCAGTCGTGGTCGAGGCAGAGTGGAAAGCTGGGGATATCCACACAAAAAACGAAGACACTGTTGTACTAAGAAAGTTCCGTAACAGATAAAAGTTGAGCTAGTAGCGCAAGATGGAGATAGACGAGTTCTTCCTAACTACATGTTGGATGAGATCGACATAACATACGACATACGACCGACGCGGCTTGCACTAAGGGTGAACTAAACTAAACTGAACTGAACTCAACTGTACTGAACTGTCAAGTCCCTGTAAGGTGATGTATTTATAGGTTAAAGACGGGGCGACCTTATGTGACAGGGGCGTTTCTGAGAAAAGGGGGGCCTTGGCATGTCCAGGTGTGAGAGGGGTCTCTGCATTCCACCACATGTGACAGTGTGGGTGGCCTTGTTTGTGGGAATTGTAAATCGACCTGATTTATGACTTCCATCTTTAGACTTTGTTGTTTTGGCAATACTATGCTCGATCTCTGCTTTAGCTCAACTCCTAAATCTAATACAGATTTTATTTATTTATCCACTTTGTACAAATTACATTACATAGGGCGATGCAATGACACAGATTAATCATGCGCAAAATTTTTATAGATGTGTTTCTATATACAACATGACAATCTTATTATAAGTTATATACACAGTATGGGGTTGTTGGTTTAAATTACCATATATATATATATATATTGTTGCACCAGGTTGCGGCTTGGCAGACTCTTCAGCCATGATTCTCTCCTGTGCTGGGTCTTGCATCTTACCAGAGCGTGTTTCAACCATCCTACAAATTTATATAAGGGAATAATGAGATAAGTCTACTTTAAGTAACCTCCAGAATGCTTTATTTATTTTCTCACATCAAAGAGAGCAGTGAAGTCACAGTGTACCTAAATACAAATGATGATAAATTAATAATCTGTTTTGAATAAGTATCATAGAATATTTTATATAAAAATAAATAAATATATAATTTAAATTTCAAATATATTAAAAATAATATAAGAAATACGCCATTAATCGTGATGTAACAATATAGAAGCATAGGGCGCCTCTCCCGTCAAAATAAACTTCAAAGCCTGACGTTATCTATTGACCGTCGCCGCAACTAGCGGCCTCGGGTCGGTGACAAAGCCACAACACCAGCTTTGGCAAACTGAGAAGCGTCCACCCAGAGACCATGGTTTCGGGATAATGGCCCTCGTCAGTCTAGGGCGGACTTTATTCCATGAGTTCCACACGGGATCTAATGGAATCTTCACAATCTACCAAAGAGGTGTTTTGCAAAGCCTGACGCCATCTTTGACGTTTATTTTGACGGAAGAGGCGCCCTATGCTTCTATGGATCTATATACTCCCTGCAAATTATCCATATATATATATGATAATTAATAATCTGCCTGAATGTAACCATGGCCAGTCGAAATTGTTGTTAAGATCAATTCATGTTTGATATGAAGATATATAAAATTAATGTAAAATGAAAATTGAAATTATACCGCGAATGTTTCTTTTATAAAAATCGAAATTTATTTTCAAAGAGAAATAGCGACATTTCTAACTTTGAGGATGAGGTATGGAAAGGTGAAACATGAATAGTAATGGCGAACGGAAAAATAAAAAGTGTCCAGGGGCGGGAATCGAACCCACACCCTTCTGCTTACCGGGCAGGTGCCTTGTCCACTCGGCTACCCTGGAGTGGACAAGGCACCTGCCCGGTAAGCAGAAGGGTGTGGGTTCGATTCCCGCCCCTGGACACTTTTTATTTTTCCGTTCGCCATTACTCTTCATGTTTCACCTTTCCATACCTCATCCTCAAAGTTAGAAATGTCGCTATTTCTCTTTGAAAATAAATTTCGATTTTTATAAAAGAAACATTCGCGGTATGATTTCAATTTTCGTTTTACAATCATCAGCCGCGTTATATTGTATTTTTTAATGTAAAATATTGTATCTATTCTCTCTTTCTCTCATAGGTTTTAGAGTTTTATGATAAATCTGTGTAGAGTTCAATAAATAACCGGCCATCCTTCAATAAATTCTCTAGATTTCACTCTATGTTTTATATATAATACAATATAATACACTGCGGCTTGTGATTGTAAAACAACACTTGAAGTTACACCGCATGAGTTTCTTTTCAATGAAAAATCAAAATTTATTTCAAGGTGAAATATTGACTATTTCTAACTTTTTTGGATGAGGTATGAAAGGGTGAATTATGAAGAGTAATGATGAACGGAAAAATAAAAGTGTCCAGGGATGGGAAACGAACCCACAATGTTCCGCTTACCGGGCAGATGCCATGTCCACTAGGCTATAAACAATATGCTTATATTAAACGAAAAAACATGGTGAAGGAAGACGAGTTTCTTTTATTGATGCATAGGTGCAAGCTTTCGGGTAAAAACCCTTCAACAGGCGAGAAATGATGAGCGACTTGTTGTAGGGTTTTTACCCGAAAGCTTGCACCTATACATCAATAAAAGAAACTCGTCTTCCTTCACCATGTTTTTTCGTTTAATTTCAAATCAGGAAGAATTATTTATCTATATTTAAATATGTTTATATATTAAGTAATTTCCTTTCAAGCATATGTATGAAATTTGTAATAAATAAATTTGATGACAATGTGTTTCTTTTTAATAATTTCATCAAATATTACTATACTCTATATGATATTATTCAAAAGAGAAACAAATAACCAGTAAATTTATTTGTTACAAATTTTATCAATATAGATGAAAATTGATTTTATAAATTTAGTTTACTAATTTACCAATTTTTCCCCCCATTGAATATAACAGAATATGTTGTTTTTTCATCGCAGTAAGGACAGTAGAAGTTCGTTTTATGTATAAAAGAAACATTCGCGCTTTTAAATCCTTTTATTTTATATAACAGAATATTTTAAAAACTTAATTCTGTTGACGTTATGTGGCGCTGAGTTTGTTGTTGACACACATTAAATATGTTTTAACACCTTGATAAAGTTTGGCGTTCAGCCAATTGAAATATTGGTAAAATAAATGATTTTTGATCCAATATATGCCTTTTTAATTAAAGATGCCTTTTTATTTAAATAAATATAGGTATTTAATTAAAAAGGCATATATTGGATCAAAATATCCTTTATTTTATCTAGTATTACAGATTTATTTATGGATTGCTCTATTTTTTTTTTTAAGTATATACAGTTAAACTTGTTTATAGCGTCTCCTTTTGGGACTCACCGAAATAGGGTGCTATAGAGAGGGGTTGCTATAGACAGTTAACTTTTAATATAAATCGCATCTTACTACGTATTTAAAATCGGGCGCTATAGAGAGGGAGGTGCTATCTAGAGGAGGGGGGTGGCTCTATAGACAGATTTAACTGTATATATATATACATATTGGAAGGTAAATTTTGAAGATTCATTATTTATACTTTCTTTCTATTTAGATTTTATTTATTAAAAAATATTCTCTGTAATTTAATCACTCGAATAAAGTTTATAAAATTTAAAAGAAATACCTTCTCTCTGATATTCCCTTTCCTTATTAAATGTGCATCCATTATAGGAAGGTAATGATTCATCCTTTTAAATATTTTTTTACGAAGGGATTTAATAAATGATTTTAAGATAATTACTTTTATTACCATTAAAAAAAACCTCTTAATTGTTTTTATTTCTTTCTTTTTTTCCACCGAATTAATATGTGTACCAATTATTTGAGAAATTTGTTTTAATTAGATATTTTGATGCAATTAGTTGCATTGATTTTTGTCCCTCCCTTGTTTTGTGTTATAATTCCATATTTACCTTTTAAATTGTGTTGGGGGAAAGTATTGTTCCTGATTGGTTAATCAGTGAATGACGTCATAGCTTCGGGGTTTTTTTTTTTATATCGTCTGCTGGAAAAAAAAAGGGGTAAACTAAAACGAATTAATGATTTTGTAAATTTAGGTAGTCAAAATATAATTATGGAGTTTTAAAATAGATATTAATTAGTTTATTTTACATGTTATTTAGGTATATGCATGATTTCTTTTTTTTTTCTAAGTTTTTTTTTATTATATCAGTGTAAGTTTATATAACTTCTAAATATTTTAATGAATTCATGTTTTCCTGATCTTGCGCCAAAGGGAAACAAAAATTGTTATCTATACACAACAACTACTATATTTTGAATACTTTACCCGATCAAATTAAAAATTTTATCACTGATTTGGTTTTGTAACAATATTTATGGCTCGACTAAGTCCATTTTTCAAATAAAAAAAAAACAAATCGAATGTCATATAATATTCTCTGCTAACTTTTCTTGGTTAATCAAGAAAGGGTATTTGATCGATATTCTGAAATATGTATCAAATAAGACAATAGGTTTCAGGTTTCTGGGCTTTTTAATTTTTGATTCCTATCTCAAGCTTTCAGGCATTACCGCCCTTTTACAGGAATACAAAATGTACAATAAGTGAACGCATTATTGTTCATTTTGTAGTCTTGTAGAAAGGCTAAAATACCAAAAACCTTGAGAATTCAATAAAAAAGGAAAGAAATTAATCTCCAGAAACCTGTTTTTTTTATTTAATAAATATCCAAAAGACTCATATCTATTGTATTCTTGAATAATATGAAAATTCAAAGATTAGTTGATATTTATTCCGACAGATGGCGCAAACTATCATCAATTTTTAGTTGCACGATCAGGAGATGCCTTTTTTCTTAAAATCTCTCTCTATATTGTTGCACCAAGTTGCAGCTTTGCAGGGTCGTCGACCTTGGTTTCTTCCTTCTTGGTGGTATACCCGTTTCCTGAGCGGGTTTCCATACTTAAAGAAAATAATCATGATGCAACAATATAAATATAAAGTTATCGGAAACACAAGTAACCTCAAATAGGTCTACAACCTTCCTTTCAAAATAAAAATTTCTCTCTGTCTAAATTACCTAATATAGATTTAAACTGAACAAATGGAAGTATTCTATAATTGACTAGACTGATTTTATCTATTACATACACTCATGGACAAAAGTTATACCTTTTATCATGTATATTGGGATTCAGACAATAACTCTGAAAGATATTACAGTGACCTTTATTGAAGACGCACCAGATAACCAAGTATGAACTAAATGGCCTCTGTCTCCTTAAAAAAAATCAGACGACCGGCGATATCACTTTATTTATTTTTATCTATGAGTGTATCTATATATATATATATATATATATATATATATATATTGTTGCACCAGGTTGCGGCTTGGCAGACTCTTCAGCCTGGATTCTCTCCTGTGCTGGGTCTTGCATCTTACCAGAGCGTGTTTCAACCATCCTACAAATTTATAAAAGGGAATATCGAGATAAGTCTTCTTTAAGTAGCCACCAGAATCCTTTATTTATTTTCTCACATCAAAGAGAGCAGTGAAGTCACAGTGTACCTAAATACAAATGATGATAAATTAATAATCTGTTTTAAATAAATATCATAGAATATTTTATATAAAAATAAATAAATATATAATTTAAATTTCAAATATATTAAAACAAATATAAGAAATACGCCATTAATCATGATGTAACACTTCCCCCTCTCCAGAGGTCGTCACGTCCTCGTGATTGACCTCATCAATTCTTTCAAAATAGGGTTTGATTCTTGAGACATGGACAATCAATGGGTCTTGGCCAGGATTATCTTTTGGTTCAATTAAGTAATTTACGTTGGACAGCTTCTCTAATATTCTATATGGGCCAAAATATTTTCTCAGTAGTTTCTCACACTTTCCTATTTTCCTAATTGGTGTCCAAACTGCTACTAATTCTCCTGGTTCGTAGCTTCTTTCCATGTGTTTCTTGTCATAGTTCTTTTTCATTCTTTCTTGAGTCTTTATTGTGTTGTTAATAACTAATTTTCTTGTTCTGTTTATTTTGTCTAAGTGATGTTTTATGTATTCATCATAATCATCTTTGTCAATGTCCACCGAGATATTCCTGTCGTCCAAAAGAGACGTGGGTTCTCTTCCAAACATCAGGAAAAAGGGAGAATATCCTGTGGTTTCCTGAATTGTAGTATTGTAAGCGTGAGTGATGAATGGGAGTATTTCGTCCCAATTTTTCTGATCAGTGTTCACATACATACTGAGCATATTGATCAATGTTCTATTTAACCGCTCTGTCAATCCATTAGTCTGGGGATGATAGCTCGTTGTGAAGCAATGTTTAATCTTGCACGTTTTCATCACCTCTTTCATTAAATTACTGGTAAATTGAGAGCCTCTGTCACTAATAAGATATTGTGGGGCTCCGTGCCGAAGAAAAATATCCTCTACTAGAAATTTAGAAACTTCTTTCACTGTTGCTTCCGAGACTGCTCTTGTTTCTGCATATCTAGTGTAGTAGTCCGACAGCACGATTATCCATTTTTTCCTGTTTTTCGTAGATGGTAGTGGACCAACAAAGTCAATTCCAATTCTTTCGAAAGGAAAGTTGGCTGGGGGGATGGGCTGTAGTAGTCCAGAAGGTAATTGGTTTGAGCCTTTCCTACTTTGGCAAAGGTGACACGTCTTAACGAATTCTGAGACATCCTTTAGCATGGATGGCCAAAAGTATTTACTCTTTATTCGGTACATGGTTCTGGCGACGCCCAGATGGCCATTCGACATATGATTGTGATATTCTTTCATAATTTCTCTCTTTTTATACTCTGGAACCACAGGCAACCACGCCCTGCCTTCAGGGTTCGGGTTTTTCTTAAAGAGGCATCCATCTTCT